GACACTGCACACCATCACCTGACCTCACTGCAGACACTGCACACCACTATCTGACATGCTGTGGTCACTTTCCCACTTCCAGCCTTGATGTACTTTCATCTACACAGTCTCTTCTGTGTCCAGGCAAAAGATCCAGCTTTTTCTGTCCCTTCCCAGCATGTCTCAGAGCCCACAGAATCAACTAAGCAGAGCTCAAAGAGACTAAAGCACAGAGCCTGTATGGATCCGAGCTAGGTTTTCTGCACATACATTATAGTTGTGTAATTGGGTGTTTTTGTGGAACCCCTAACAATGGAGTGGGGGTATCTCTGACTCTGTTGCCTGCTCTTGGGACCCCTTTCCCCCTACTGGATTGCCTCAACCACCCTTTATATGAGAGTTTGTGCCTAGTCTTTTTGAAACTTGTTATTCTATGTTCGGTTGATACCCTGGGAGACCTGCTCTTTTCTGAGGGGAAACCGAGGAACAGTGGATCTGGGGAAGAGGGGAGGTGGGGAGATAGAACTGAGAGGAGTGGAAGGAGAGAAAACTCTGGTCAAGATGTAATGTACAAGAGAGGAATAGGTAAAACAATCCATATGAATGTAGAAGGAAAGTCCTGGAAATACCTTCACAGCGCACAAGATTTTTTTCTGTTTGCATGGCTTTCGACCATTTGGTTCCTTTAAAACGCTTCAAAGTCTGATCATTACCATGGCAATAAAGTTTCCACAGGAAAGTCCATGAAGACAGCTGCTCAGTGGGGCTGACCTGACAGCTGTAAAATCTCGGTTAATAAGGGAGCTTGAAAAGTGGATTCTGAGGGACTCATGAGCTTATAGAACCTTGCTGAGATGAGGAGCGGCCCCATTCATTAGACATTCTCCTGCCCACTAAAAAAATTTCTAATGGGCATGAGGACATTTAAAAAAAATAGACTTCTACCTATCAGACAATCATTTTATGGTCCTTACCCCAAAGCTCCAGAGTCTTTGAGGAAAAAGGGACAGAAAGACTGTAAGATCCAGGAAGCAGTATTTTCTAGACATACCAGAGAAAATGCCCATGTGAACTCAGAGCAGTGTCAACACCACACAAGACCTCTGTAAGCTCCAGACAGACAAAATCCAAGCACAGGGAGTGGAAGGTGGACACATAAATTCCATATCTAGCTGAGGAGCCATTGGTATTGAATAGCTACTGGGAGAAAGGTGAGTTGGCGTCTTTTAAAGATATGAGGCCTTATAGGCTAACCAACTACACTGCAGGGCTTGGACCCAAACCCAAGACCAGACGGGCAACACAAATTAGACTTATGGGGAAGGGACTTAAAAAAAAAAAACAAAAACGTAATCTCAAACTTAGATGGTGAGGGTGGTGTATAGGAAGGAGTTGGAGAGAGCTGGTCATGCTTAAAACCATGAAATTCTCAGGGAATTAAGAGAAATATTGTAATAAACAGACAAAGAGCAAATGTCTACCTACAATCCCAAGAGAGGTTCTAATCTTTCAGTAAAAAGCAAGAAGGGAAGCCCACCATGTTTTGAATCAGCTGTTACTGGGAGAAAGGTGGCCAGTTCCCTATGGCCTTTCATCTTCTGTCCTTTCCTTTTGCAATCTGCAGGGCACGTCAGGCTCCAGAGCTGGCACAGTCCCAACAAAGAACAATGCACAAGCCAGTCTGTACCAGAGCACTAGATGATCTCACAACAGCAAACCCTCTGGCATTTCTTTACAACTGTTTTAAATTTATACTTCATTTATTATCAATGCGTGTGTGCTCAGGTGATGCTGAGCCAAGCTAAAGTTTAAAAGGCAAATCTTTCAGTGTTGTTAAATATTACAGACTCCTAATTTTGCTGAAAATTCAATGAAGACGTTATTTTTAAGTAGAACAAGTACCTCAAGAGCAAACATCCTGTCCATCATGCTTCTCGAGGAGGTGGCATCAGCAACAATGTGAACCTCGATGCCTCGGCCAACCAGCTCCAGGGCAGTCTGCTGGATACATACGTGCGTCTCGAAGGAAAGGAAAGCATCATATGTAAGAATATGGTAAACTGTCGGTGCAAAGCTTAACAGCATCATTCTGGCTCTCAAGAGCTAGGCAAGCTCCAGTGTTACATCAGCATCTCCACAGGCAGAGAACTGGCTTTTATCCGTGTTTTTTACGGTCACATTGAACAGACTCTCCGAACACTATTAAAATGTCTAATGACGTTCACCTGTGCCCCCTGAGTGACCTTGCAAAAGCTCACTATCACCACTCAGGTGTAGGACCACTTGCATTTGGGTTTCCGTCTGCATCCATATCAGGTGCACAGCTCAGAAGACGAGGCTGCAGTGCTGAGAAAGCACTGGGGCAATGGAGTCATACAGAAGTAAAGACAGGCCAGGGAAGCAATTTACAACGCAGGCCAAAATCCAAAAACACTTTACGAATACATTAGGACAGACCAGAAAGGACCGGAAATGGAATAATCCCTCTCATATTGAGCTCAGGCTCTAGTTAGCCAGATAGTTTTAGGCATAAATCGGCATTCTCTAGCTTTGGCTTATTCATTTGAAGATCAGGGATTATCCAGTGCCCACTACTAACAGACTGTACTGTACAGACCCCGTCACTGCAGGTGCTGACTTATAGCACTGCCTCAGCAGAGGACACAAAGCAAGCAAAACCCCCTCTAAGAATTAATCACGATGAATAAAAAGCGTATGCAAAAGCCAGTGCATCTGTATGACACAGTTCCACTATGAGCTTCCTCTCTGCAACCATAACTGAAGTAAAAATGACTAAAGGGAAGACTAATTCTCTCTGTTATGAGAACCTATTATGATAAAAACATTATTATCAAAATATAACCATATTACGTCAATGCTATTCTATTGCACTGAGTGAATAAGCTGGGTATGTTGGTACAGGGTTGCCATTTCTGCACTCAGGAGGCAGAGGCAGGAGGATTGTTATCAATTCAATGTCAGCCGAGGCTACATTGCAAGTCCCATACTACCCAGCAAAGTCACCTTGAAAACTATATAAAATGAAATGTAATAAATCAACTGAAATTGGCACTAGGAATCCATGAGTATTTTTTCCCTTCATAAGAGCATGTACACATACCTACTTGAAGGACAATGAACTGTACAACCTTGGAGCTGTTTGGGTATGAGGTGCGGAACAGCACAAAATGTGCCCCCAATCAAGTCCAAGCACACATAAATAAAAGTAATCTCTTTGGGGAAAACGTCTTCCAAAGCAGGCAGCAGGTGGTTCTCAGAACAGCTGAAGATCAAACGCAGCCCCGCCCACTAGTTGTCTGACTTTGGGCAGGGTGTGATACCTTTATGCCTTAGTTTCTTATCTGTGGTACTGGGGGACACAGGGCCCATAAGTCACAGGGTTATTGGGAGGGTTCAAGGTGTTAGCAGCTACAGGGCATTTGAATCAGCGCCCTGCAGGTGGAGAGCACATAACAGGTGGTGGCCATCTTCCTCAGTGCCACTCATCAGCATCCTATAAGCAAGACTGCGTTCTAGGAACGCTGAGTTTTCCCACAAATGATGCGCTCCAAACCCAAAAGGGAACTTACTTCTACTCCAAACAACACAACACTTCGGACGCCAGGAATTTCAGCTAATGCTGCTTCGACTTCAGGTAACACCATAGAAAACTTGGTCTTTGGAAGAACCAGTTTTACACCCGTTAAGTCAATTTCTTGAACGGTGCTGCCAAGTCCTTTGGGGTATTGCTCTGTTATGATAACTGGAATCCCTAATATCCGAGCTCCTTGCAACTGAAAAGCATCAAACAAAGGTATAAAAAAAATGTGTTGAGTAGAGATATAAATACACATTGTATTGAATACAGATATGAATGCACTTTGTCCTTCAGACAATTAGAAGAAGCAAATGCAGGAGCATACCAGTCTCTGTCCCACACTAATGATGTCTCCAAAGTACTTGATGGCTGGACGGAATCTTTCCTGCATGTCACAGCAGAAAAACACAGTGCTCTGAGGTGTGAGATTTCCCAGGGTCGTAAGCTGAGAATAAAGAAGACGAAAGTGATCTGGCATTTGTATTACAATGACATTTATTTCCAGTGGATGTCACTACAAACAGAAAAATGTTCCTATTGTTTGCCTCAGTCAGTAAACTTATAATATGTATAAAGAATGATCTGAATTATCACCCCCTCCCGCCCCTGTGACAGTATGTATATGTTCAGCCCAGGAAGTGGCACTATTAGAAAGTGTGGCCTTGTTGGAGTATGTTTATCACTGTGGACGTGGGCTTTAAGATACTCATCCTAGCTGCCTGGAAGTCAGTATTCTGCTAGCAGCCTTCAGATGAAGATATAGAACTCTCAGCTCCTCCTGTACCATGTGTGTCTGAACGTTGCCATGCTCCCACCATGATGATAATGGACTGAACCTCTGAACCTGTAAGCCAGCCTCAATTAAATGTTGTCCTTTATAAGACTTGCCTGGTCATGGTGTCTGTTACCCTAAGTCACCCCCCAAAACAGGTATTACCCACAAAGGCATTCTCCAAACTGCATTTGGTAGAAAAGAGGGGACATAAAGCAAAGACCAACAATACATAAAAGTTTAGACAAATTTTAATACTTTCAGAAAGAAAACATTTTAGTCAATTAAAAATACATATATATATGTTTCAAAGATTTCTTTCGTCTAAGGAGAAACACTTACCATAAAATGTTAATCTTACAACGAAACATTTGAATAGCACTTCAGTATAAAAATATAAAGAAAAAGAAGATATCAAAAAAAAGGCAGTTATATAATTTAAAAATTTTATGCTCTTTTTTGGTGGATTTAAAAGTATTTGCTTAATGTTATTGTGAATATGTTACCTTCAAGTTAGAAAATATTTACATTAAAAATGTAAATATGATAATGGTATTACAGACAGAAATTAAATTGTAAAGTAACTCATGTAAGGAAGGTAACAATTGAAAAAAAATCATCTGTAGCAGAGACTGTGAAACATAGAAGTAAAGGCAAACAAGAAAACAAGCTGATTTGTAGCAAACATAAAATCTCTGCTATCAAGATAAAAGTCACTTGCAAGGGTGACTTCTGGAGTGCAGTAAATGAAACATTCAAACTGGGAAAGGAAAGGGTGGTGGGAAAGGAACACACCAAGAGGGAATTCTCAAACATTATTAGGAGTGGGAAAATTAATGAATTAGTAGGGAAACTGAGTATTAAATTTCCAAGCTTCATATCTGCAACCCAGCAACAGCTTACGTAGCAGCCTGTCAGGTGTGGGACTGCTTGGCTATCCAAACACACACAGACACAGACAGACAGACAGACAGACAGACAGACAGACAGACACACACACACACACACACACACACACACACAGACACACACACACTCTCCCCCCAGCCACTTTCTGTCTTTCTCTCCCTCTTTCCCTGCCTCTACCCCTTCCCCATCCCCTCTCTTTCCCAACAAACTTTCCTTATACTAGGTTTATGGCATCTCTTCAGGGGAACACCTCAACATGGGCCTACCAAGGTGCTACCCCTGCCGCAACTACACCCCATTATACCAGCAAAACATAACAGGTAGCACATGCCAACAGTCTGGGCCCAGTGAGGATCTACTCACATGTAAAATCACACTGACTACAGGAATTTAACTTCATTGGATACTTACAAGCCCAAGGAGCTTTACTTTCCACCTGCAAACTAAAGAAAGCTCTGCAAAGAACGTGGTTGTTCCGGAGGGAACCAATGCCATTACTCTCCCTAGTCACCCACTAAACCCCCTCTAGTTGTCCTGTTTTGCATCCTCTAAAACCACCCACAGATATCAATTATTAATATCCTGGAGAAGCCTGTGTCCCAATTACACGGTTGTAGTCTCTGCAGCAGCTCGGCCCTAGACTCTTACCATCTCTGCAGGCGGCAGACTCTAGAGGAGACAATTCCTACCTGGATTAAAGGAGCCACTGAAAGAAATCTTTTATCCCTGACGCTGCAGCTATCCTCACTGCTCTAAGATAGCTTTTTCTGTGTTCTGGTTGCAGCCTCTACTACTTTCATCTCCCACTGCAGCTGAGGCTACGGCAGGCATGCACACTCCTTCATCAAGGGCAATCCGGTAGCATACCGCACTAGAAGGTGAGAGCTACCTACCTAACAGTTAACACTATAGGGAGAGTCCAACCTCACCAACAGAGCAGGATTAATGTGCTCAAGCGCCCTCCCTGGCTGTCTCCTCACTCTGTTTTTAAATTATACTCTTTTTTATTTTACATTTGTTTGTTTATTTATTTATTTATTTATTGTGTGTGTGTGTGTGTGCAAGCTCGAGGATTTACACTAGCAGGTCAGTGGACAAGTCCTGGGAGTCTGGTCTCTCCTTCTAAGACATGGCCTCAGGGATTAGATATCAGGTTATCAGGCTTGGCAACAAGCACCTTAATCTTCGGAGCCAGAGTGCCTGCCCAAGGTCTCTGTACTGGAGTCATTTTCAAAGCAGTGCATGTGATCTACACACAGAAGCCGGGAAGACCAATTTTTGCATATTCAGGATTTTATTTTTTAAAGCAATCACTGCTTTATGACTTATGCATTTTAAAATCCCAGTAACCATTAAGTCTTAATTACTTATGCTCAAAGATCTGTTTTTCTTTCTTAAATTTAAATAGTAAGTATCACAGTGCTACTGTGATTTGAGTGAAAGATGTAAACACTTTACTTACAAGTGGACTATTTGAAACTACAGTCATACAACTCAGCCAGACTGGCCATTCCAATTTGCCAGCAAGTTTTCACAGGAAACCTGGCAAGTGTTATTAATGAGCTAACAGTCAAGCCCTAAAATGCTCACAGTTCACACACACTAACATACTAACTCAGTCTACACCGTCTAACACTGTAGGTCCCACACCAGACTAGCAGTCTGCATCCTAAATACACAGAAAGTTAAGAGCGTTTCCAACAACTAGAAACACAGTGCTAGAGGCAGACAAATTAGCAGCTGCAGGAACTGACAGGGGAGCTGGAATAAAAGATCCAAGATACAAGAAGCAAGCCAAACTCAGACTCACTGGCATCTGGTGAGGTAGGAACACATTATTCTAAGTTAGAAAAATGTCATTCTAGTATTCATAAAGACTATGTAAAAAATATAAGAATATATCAAATAACATACTATTTTACAGGAACCACAAGATAAAAATGGTCAAAACATTCAGTTATCAAAAGTAAAGGAATAAATCCTCACCTAGCCAGAAATCTAGATCTATGTTCTGAGGGCAGAGAAATAGCCCTCAAGCAGTCCTCACCCCACAGAACCCTTTTCAGTAAACAAAGGTGTTAAAGTGAAGAGTGACTCCTCTTCTTGTAGAGATGGAATTCCTGATTGTGTGGGTCTCAAACACTTCCCCATACCCTTTGGGTGCAACTGGCGAAATCTGCCAGAAGTAGTGTGAGGGCAAGTACCTGACTCAAGGGAAAACTGACAGACAAATCAGCTACAGGGTCCTCAATCATGCACTCAGTAATTCACACTGACAAACCCATGTGTGTGCTTGACATAAGAATGGCCTGCACAGATCTTCAGAGTCTCACAACCTCAGGTTATCCATAAGAAAAACACCCCACATGGAAAAACTTAGGTCATCCCACCAAAACATCTGACTGGTGCTTCTCGGTACTGTCAAGGTCATTCGTAATAATCAAAACCAAAGACAGTGTCAGACCACAGAGGAACCAACATAGCCACGGCAAGTGGTTTAACGTTATCCTGGACTGGATTGTGGATAAGGTCATCCTGAAATACCAAACAAAGAAAAGACAGGAAGAAAAACAATAGTAAAAGCCAGTGTTCAGAGGCCATAGAGATGGCTCTGTGGTTAAAAGCATGCACTGCTCTTCCAGAGGACCCAGGTTTAGTTCCCAGCATGCAGTGGGCAGCTCACAATTGCCTGCAACTCTAGATCCAGGTGATCTGATGTCCATTTTTGAACTGCACTGAAACACACACACACACACACACACACACCAAAAAAAAAAAAATAAAAACAATTAGAAAAAATCTGGTGCACAGCTTAGTTAATAGTACTTCATGCTGGGCAGCTAGCTGGGTGTGATAGATAGATAAACCACAATAAAGTAAAATATTAACAGATGAGCTGGTGGGACAGAGGAATAGAAAAATCTGTCTTATCTATGCAACTGCAGCATTTAAAAAAAAAGTTTTAACACTTATAAAATGCAAGTCTTATACTTAAAATAAAAACAATGGCTTCCCTGGGATATAGTAGTTGGAGATACCGCGTGACTGTAGAGATAACCTTCAGATCTAACAAACTAGAAAAGGAAACTTAGAAAAAGGGAAAAACAAAAAACAAAAAACTTCTAACAATGTTATCTGCCTAATCCTGTCTATCATATGGATTCTAACAAGCTGCCATTACAATTTAATTCAGTTATAATTCAGCAATTTTTTTATCCTGACTCACAAATTTTAGTTAAAGTTAAATCGTAGGTACCCAGAAGTATTGCTAATTGCCCACAATACACAAGTTACAACTTCAGTATGACCAAAACTACCATGACAAAAGCAGATTTGACTAAATTGTTTCAGAAGCAAAAGATGTATCATTTGCACATCAGTGCAGACACAAGAAACACAAGTTACATTTATATACATATATATATGAATATACATATATATAGGAACATACACATTTAAATATAAAGGATTATTATAATCAGTGACTTCCTGAAACAAAAGTTTAAGAGACAGAATTTAAGTACAAAACTCTTTGTCCACTTCCTTTAGACCTGCCACAGTGTGGCACTGACCTGAAATTTCATATTGAATAGAATACCTATAGGCTTTCCACAGAAAAGTTTTGATATTCCTATTACCCTGGCCATATGCTCTGATCACTTAACAAAATGGCCACTGGCTGGCCACTCAGGAAAACAAAACATGGCTAGCCTAGGTTAATGATTCTTACCCATTCCCAGAACAGAAGTAGGATATGGTATCTC